TAAACTGTGGTCAATGACATGAGACAAAGTATATATGAACTGCTGTATGGAAAGTGAATTTGCTCTGTAAATCTTCACCCAAATCACAATAAAAAAAAAAAAAAATTCACTGAAGAAGTAAAAAGAGAATTCAGAGACTGAAAAAATTGGCAATGACATATCGGACAATGGGCCAATCTCTAAAATTTGTAGAAAACTTAAACAACAACAAGAAGAAATAATCCAGTTTAAAAGTGGGCAGAGGACACAGACACTTCCCAAAGGACATTCAGGCAGCTAACAAACAAATGAAAAAATGTTTGTCATCTTTAGCCATCAGAGAGATGCAAATAAAAACAACAATGAGATATTATTCCCCCCAGCACTAATAGCAAAGTTCAAAAAAACATAGAACAGCATGTATCAGCAAGAGTGTGGAGAGACTAGAACCCTCATATACTGCTGGTGGGACCACTGTGGAAAACGATATGGTGGTCCCTTAAAAAGAGGAAATAAGAACACCATATGATCCAGCAGTCCCACTACTAGGTTTATATCCTAAAGAAATAAGAACCATGACATGAACAGATAACACGCACATTTATGTTCATCACAGCACTATTCACAAGAGCAAAAAGATGGAAGCAACCTAAATGCCTATCAACAGAGGAATGGATAACAAACTGGTACATATGCACAAGAGAATACTGTGCAACACTAAAGAGCAATGATGTGTCTGTGAGACATCTCGTAATGTGGATGAATTTAGAAGCCATTTTGCTGAGTGAAAGTAGTCAATCACAAAAAACAAATATTGTATGAAATCACTGTTGTAAAAAGTCAGGAAAAGGTTTTCACTTCAAAAGAAATATTGTTTGATGGTTACCAGAGGTGGGTGATGAAGGGAAGGTAGAACACTAAGGAGAGGGTAGATACATATTAACTTGGATGAAGGGAAAGGTAAGAAAAAAAATTTGCTAAAGAATTATCCCCACCTCACCTTTCTCCCACCCAGTGTACACACACAGACACACACACACACAGTATACCTATTCTGTACCACAATTACAGAAAAATATGAAGACAATGGATATGGGTTGTTATTTAAGGAAAATATTGCTTTGGAAAATGCTAATTTCTATTTAATTTTATTTAATATGCAGGTAGGATTAATTATATCTTACTATTAAAGTAAAAACTTAATTTTATTATCTATTTACACAACTACATAATTTATGAATTTATAAATAAATATAAAGGTAAATCAAGATTAATTTTAAGAAGTCTAGAAATGGGAAAATTTTGTTTAAGCATATATTAAATATTAATGGATTGATTCATAAAAATACTTTGTTAATAATTGTTACATAAATGTTATACAAAAACAATAAAGGAGAAATTCATCAGTGATCCTAAGTTTTCGTTTCTTTTGTCTTATAATAATGTGTTCTCCTCTAATTTCTATTTCATCTCATCCATCCATTCATTTAGGAACTCTGGTGGCATAGTGCCTAAGGCATTTGACTGCTAACCAGAAGGCTGGCGGTTCAAACCCACCAGCCAATCCTCGGAAGGAAGGTTGGGCAATCTACTTCCCTAGTGATACCGCCTCGGAAACTCAATGAGGGGTCTCTATGAGTCAGGAGTGACTTGATGGCAGTGAGTTTTGTTTGGTTTTATCCATTCATTTAACAAATATATACTGAGCAACTAGTAAGTACAAAGAAATACATCAGTGAGCATTCTAGTTGGGAGAGTCAGGCAATAAACTGATATGTAAAATGTCAAGTGCTAAATATATCACAGGATGCAGTGGTGGAACTCTTGCCCTCCATGTGAGAGCCAAGTTCGTTTCTGGGCTGGTGCACGTCAAGTGCAGCCACCACACATCTGTCTGTGGAGGCCTGCTTGTCGCTATGATGTTGAACAAGTATCAGCAGAGCTTCCAGACCAAGACATGAGGAAGAAAGAGCTGGTGATCTACTTCTGAAACTCAGCAATGAAAACCCTATGGATCACAGCAATGAGATCCTACTCTGCATGGGCTCACCATGTGTCGGGGCCAACTCCATGGCAGTTAACAACAATAAAATGTATATAAGAAGTAGTATCAAGGAAAATGAAGCATCGTGAGATCGAAAGGGGGGATCACACTGTTTTGAAGCATCGGTCAAAGAACCAGGAGCCATGGTGTCATAGTGGTTAAAGCACTTGATTGCTAACAAGTCACCAGTTCAAATCCACCAGCCACTCCTCAGGAGAAAGATGTGTCAGTCTGCTTCCATAAAGATTTAGTGTTGGAAACCCTATGGGGGCAGTTCTACTCCATCCTATAGGGTTACTATAGCACCTGGATGAGAAGTGCTATTCCTGTGCAGATATGTGGATATCTGAAGCAGAACAAAGGCCCTCCATGTGAGGAGACACAAGCCTCCTTGTGTGGCTGAGTGGAATGAGAAAGGGCAAGGGAAGTGGGAATATGTTGGGGAGCAGCCCATACATGGCTTTGCGGACTCTCACTTTGATTGGAAGGGGAAGCCATTTCAGATTTTGTAAAAAATTATTTCGGACCTACACAAATGTGCATATAACAGCACAATGAATGTACTGGAGTGTTTTCAGAGAAATGGTATCATCTGACTTGAAAGTAACACTCTAGTTACTGTGTTGAGAGGCTGAACAGCAGAAGGGCAGAAGCACTTCTGAATAGGCAGCTATTGCAATGATTCTGGTGAGTGTTAATGGCAATGCAGGAAGATGTGTAGAAATGGCAGGTTCTGGATATATTTTTGAAAATAGCACATATAGGATATGCTAACAGATTAGATGAGAAGTGTCTGAAAGACACGTCAAGTGATTTAAGATTTTTGGCTTCAGCAATTTGAAGAATGGAGTTTCCATTTATGAGACGGTGAAGACTGCAGGAGAAGAAGGTTTTGGTAGGAAGATCAGAAGCTCAGTTTTGGACATGTTAAATTTGATATGTCTGTACAACATCCAAGTGGAGTCAGTCATCAAGGATGCAGTCTTATGTATGAACTGGACGTATAACATTTACATCAAACAATACAACATATAACATTTAAGTCATATGTAACATTTGCATCAAACTATATATATATATATATAATGTTGTTATGTGCCGTCCGACTCATAGCAACCCCTCCTTGGGTTGCCGAGGCAGTATCCCTACGGGAGTAGATTGCCCCACCTTCCTTCCAAGAAGTGGCTGGTGGGTTTGAACGGGCAGCCTTCTGGTTAGCAGTCAAGTGCCTTAAGCACTATACTACATATACATATATCTGGTGGTGTAGTGCCTAAGGCACTTGACTGCTAACCAGAAGGCTGCCCGTTCAAACCCACCAGGCACTCCTCGGAAGGAAGGTGGGGCAAACTACTTTCGTAGGGATACTGCCTCAGAAACCCAAGGAAGGGTCGCTATGATTCGGATCTGACTCGACGGCAGTGAGTTTGGTGTATATATATGGTTGTGATTTGGGTGAAAGTTTACAGAGCAAATTCCTTTTCCACACAACAGTTCATACACATTTTGTTTCATTACACTGATTGCAGTTCCCTTAATGTAACAGCTCCCTTCCCATTTTCTCCCTGTGATTTTACCTTTTCCCTGTCGTCCTTTCCTATGCATTCCTGCCCTGTGAGCTATCTCCCTGTACAAATACTGCCATTCTGATCTCCCATGATTGTACCTACCTGGTGTAAATGTCCACGCTAATATGCCTGTCTATTTTTTGGCTGGAAGCTATGGAAATGAATTCAATTCTAGGCCCGAAGGGTAACTAGGAGCCATAGTCTCGGAGGTTTCACCAGTGTATCAGATCAGTAAGACTAGTCGTTTTTATGATTTTAAGTTTTGTTCTACATTTTTCTCCCAGGATCTCCTAGACTGATCCCTTTTCTGAGTGGATGACAGTAGTAGCCCGTCACCATCTAGTTTTTCTGGTCTCACGGACAATACAAAGGATATTTTAAAATGCAGTTATGAGAAAGCACTAGTAATTAATAACATCTTCACTCTTATTTTTCAGTGTTCTCTTTCAGGCCTTATCCTACAGGTAATTATTTTTTCATATTTGTGTTACTAACAAAAATAAAATTTGGCATTCTATCTTTACTTAAATTCTGTTATTAACATTTCTCCACATTTCAATAAAGGTAAAACAACAATGTTTAAAGGCTGCAACCTCTGAGGAAAAAAAAACACGATGAGCAAAGAAAGAAAACCCTAGCACAACGCACAGCAGTAACTGTACTTATACTTAGTGTGAGCCAACACTTGATCCTCTCCGCAAAGCATTGCATTTTTTCTTCCTAGTCGGCAGAGGGCGCCCAGAGGGCGCTACTCAACACTTCGGAACGGAAGCTCCTCCCCCTTTTCTTTCCCCTCCCTAATGTCCTTCGCTCCGGAAGTGGCTGCCGGCGTGACTTTGAACGCTTCCCGCTGCGGCGCCGGCAGTTGAGCAGACCCGGAGGTCTGGGAGTACGTTTCTGACCTTGCCATGAGGCTGCTGGGAACCGCTGCTGCCGGGGCTCTGGGACGCGGGCCGCTCCCATGGGTCCCCGCCGCCTTAGGCTGGCGAGGGAAGCAGGTAATGGTAACTGAAGAGGCAAGCCCAATCCTGGGACAACCCTTCACCCGGGACCTTGCTGTGCCCCTGGGATTAGAAGGGGCTAGAGAGGCAGTGAACCCCGCTCTTTCTCTGGGACCTCCATACTGACAGCTCCGCAAATGGGCAGTCGTGCTGGACTTCTGAAAACCCTCGGTACCGTGCATCGTCTCGCTGTTCACGACCAATCCAAGACAGTGTCTTGGGAGGTTGAATGGGCCCCCAATTCAGAGCTAAGCAATCCAAACCCACTGACATGAGTCGATTCCGACTCATAGAGAGTCTGTAGGACCGAGTAGAACTGCGCCATGGGGTTTCGAAGGCTGTAAATCTTTATGGAAGCAGACTGACCTCATCGTTCTGCCGCAGGGCAGCTGGTGGGTTCGAACTGTGGACCTTGTGGTTAGCAGCAAAATATCTTAAAGATAAGGGACTTGAGTATAGATCAGAGTACTAAAAATATGTTGTTGTCGGGGCTCGATTCAGGGGCATCGGACTCATTATCCAGTGCTCTTTTCACTAGAGTATTCTTGTGATGATTGTCTGCTTTCAGGCGGCCCTATGTTATTTGATTTGACGCTTGAACCTCCCGGTCCTTTAGTCAGTTTGTTACCAGGCATACAGAGGGTTAAAGTCTGGAAGTGGATTCTTTTTTTTTTTTTTGGTGGGGCGGCGAGGAGGAGGGGATAGGCTTAGAGGGGCTATATGGTTACATAGGAGTTGAACTCTTCTCAGGCAAAACTCGTTTGTTCTGCTCTGTGGTATCCCCAGAGTTTGACCAACTAAGTGTTCAGCACTCAGATTCCGTTTGATATTTTACCCACCCTTTTTCAAGCTGTTCTGCCTTTCTTCTCTCCAGAAGTGATTGCAGTGCATTTTGGATGTGAACTTCTTTGAGGCAGAGGTTTATATTATGTCTTGATTTCATAAGATAGAGGATTTTTCCCCTGAGTAATATAAAAGTGTATAATGATAAACTTTATTAATTGATTTTGTTTGGAAGAGTTGGAAACATTGGGGTGGGGGCTGCTTTGGAGCTATTGAGACCACTAGGTAGAGCATTGAAGTCTTTCCTCAAATTTCCTTGCTAGTTGTGAACTTCAGTAAGTGACAAGTGGGAAAAGTAAAATTTAAACTAAAACTTGTATTTCTTACTAAAATAGCTGTTGCCTCTCTGTATTTTCATACCTGTAACATTTGGCAAATGTATCCCCCTCTTTTATACCATCCCCTGTGGGGCACCAAACTTGAGCATTTTTTTTTTTTTTTAAACTTTTTATTGTGATTTGGGTGAAAGTTTACAGAGGAAATTGGTTTTCCATTCAACAATTCATACACATTTTGTTTTGTGACATGATGCAGTCCACACAATGTTAACAACACTCTTCCAGCTTCTTCCCTATTTCCTGTTTCCATTCATCCTTCTTTAGTATCCCTTCCTGCCTTCTGAACTTTATCCATGGGCAAATGCTGCTCTTTTGATCTTGTATGGCTGATTGTTCTAATGACTGGGTACCCCTTCTTGTTTTGCTGTTCACCTTACAGGCCTGTCTGCTGTTTGGTTGGAAGTTGAGCTATGGCGGTGAGTTCACTTCCAGGCTTGAAGGATGACTAAGGGCCACAGTCTCAGGGTTCCACCAGTCTCTATCAGACCAGTAAGTCTGGTCCTTTGAATGATTTGAGGTTTGTTCCACATTTTTCTCTCATTGAGAACTTTCCCCTGGGATCCCTTTCCCAGTGATCAGCAGTGGTAGCCGGATATCATCTTGTTTTTTTGGCTTCAGGGCTGTGGAAGCTGAGATTCATGTGGTCCGTTAGTCCTTTGTTTCCACATGTCTTTGATTTTCTTCACTTTTTGCTTCAGATGGGGAGAGGACAGTATTTGCATCTTAGATGACCAGTCACAGGCTTTTAAGACCCCAGTTGCTACTCACCAAGGTAGAATATAGAACATTGTCCTTGTGGACTGTGTTATGCCAGTTGACCTTGATGTTCTGTGAGACTGTGGTCCTGGAGCCTTGTGTCCAGCAACTCATTTCCTCAAGGTGTTTGGTTATGGCTAAGAAGTTGTCGTAACTTTGCCCCCTGTTTGCTTGGATATATTGACAGCACATACAGATATTTACAGCACATACAGAAATATCCTCTGCCAAACCTATATATGGTTGTGGATGTTACAGACCCGTATCCGTAGATGCAAAATCCTCAACAAAATCCTAGCCTATAGAATCCAACCAATTTTGTTGGAACAAGAACTAGTCAAATGGCTCAATTCCATTTTCAAGTTTTATTCAAATAGTTTACCATAGAACATACATACCAGATTCGTAGGTTTTAAGCTCCTTAAGCACAAAGATCACATTTATTCAGTTCATCTTTGTGCCCTCCACAGACTTGTGCGTTTTGTACATAATGCCTTAAATATCATCATCCACTAGATAGGGCATCAGGTACAAACTAAATCTGAAGTTCAACTTATGTCACCTCTTGCTTTTGGTAGATATTTAGTAGGTAGTATTTCTTTGTAATCTTTCAACTCAAACTCTGTTTTTTTAAAAACCTGTTTTGGGAGATCTAGAAGTTGCCTTAAAGTAATTCTCCAATAACAGTTGCCCATTCCTTGTGAGATTTTTATTTTTTATCTGTGAAATAAAGTCCATTTTAGTGTTTACATTTAGGATTAATAGCCTATGAAGTCCACAGTAGGAAGCCACAAAGGTTTTCTCTTTATATTGGGACACAGTGGCTTTCATGGGTAAAGGGTGCACATCTCTGCAGAAGTGTAAATTATTCTTAGGAAATAGGTTTATGTCTTGATCATTTTAATTCCAGGACCTAGTATAAAGCAGACATTCAGGAAAAGCTGTTTGTTTAAAGAATGTATCCTTTGTGTCGTCTCTTGTAGTCCCTCTTTTGCTGAGAGGAGTTGTATGTAGGTCAAGACATTTGCTGCCAAAAGCCACCTCAAGGATCCTTTGTGTCCACTAAGATTCCTTGAAGGAGCTCTGGTAGCTTAGTGCCTAAGGCACTTGACTGTTAACCAGAAGGCTGGAGGTTCAAACCCACCAGCCACTCCTCGGAAGGAAGGTTGGACAATCTACTTCCGTAGTGATACCACTCGGAAACCCAAGGAGGGGTTGCTATGAGTTGGGTCCGACTTGATGGCAAATAACAACAACAACAAAGATTCCTTGGAGGAAAGATGTTCACTAAACCCATTCTAATTGCTCTTTGTTTTCTGTTATAAAAAGTGTGTTGAATTGAGCTGTCTTATTTTTCAGGTTAATTGGAAGACCTGCAGATGGTGTTCATCAGGGGTAGTTCCTAATGAAAAGATACGAAATATTGGAATCTCAGCTCACATCGATTCTGGGAAAACTACGTTAACAGAACGAGTGCTTTACTACACTGGCAGAATCGCAAAGATGCATGAGGTATATGAATGGTTGATTCCAGATTACTTGGAGCTTGGTTTAATCGTTTTATAGTTACCAAACCAAACTCACTGCCATCAAGTTGATTTCAACTCATAGCAACCCTTCCAAAACCACCCTAAAATTTTGTGGTTAGTGGATAGACTAGGAGTATTTTAACTGATGACAAAAGATAAGGTGTTTGGGAGATTCAAGTGACAGCATTGAAGTATGCATGTTGATAGAAGTGGTGCATTTGAGGATATTAAAGTGAGAGTTTTCTTTACTGGATATTTCTGAGGCAGTATCTCTACAGAAGTAGATTGCCCTATCTTCCTTCTGAGGAGTTTGAACTGCCAACCTTCTGGTTAGTGGTCAACTGCCTTATGGCTGCAATAGTATTTCCCATCACACATGTTCTTATTTATGCAAAATAGCTTGAATTGTTGCTCTGAGTGGTCAAACTACCTTGAGCGACCCGTTTGTGCATGTGACTTTGAATAAAGATCCACTGTTGCTATTTCTTTAGTCTTTCAAGTTTGGTGAAGGTGGCATAATGCTTAAGGTATACAACATTATATTGAGCATTGCTGTGGTTATCCTGAGCAGATTGTCTTTTAAGAATGTTACGTCAATACGATAGACCCTTAAGTAGCCATTAAAATAATATTTATGAATAATTTGTAATAATGTGGGAAAATACTTATGATTTTGAATAGGAACAAAGGTTAAAATGATACACATTGTGAGCTTGATAGTTAAAAAATACATATCACAAAAAAAATTTTTAAAAATCTTAGAACTCTCCCAAAGACATTATCATATCATTGAATATTTAAATCAACTCTCCAGTTTACAGTAGTCTTCAGATGAAGGTTATCTTATTAAATCGTATACTCTGAAAGCAGAATTCTTCCCATTCAGGTCTCACAATCCGTATGTAGCACAGCTGGGGAAGATCTGTGCTCTGAAGATCTGCCGATGGTCTGACACGGGGCTGGTGGGCCAGAGCAGCACAGAGGGAGCAGAGATGGTCCTAAGACCAGGGTAGTTGCTATTCATTAGCAGTTGATGAGAACAGCAATGAAAAAAAAAAAAAACAAAAAGATTAGGCAGTCAATATATATAGGGCAAAGCCTGAAATCGATTTAGTAGGCATATCTGAAAATCGAATCAGTCAAATACCTGTCTTCTGCTTCCATTTCAGTAGATTACTTTCCTTCTTGGAATGCAGGGACAGAAAAATCTGAATGCTGTGCTTGTTGTATTTAGGTAAAAGGAAAAGATGGAGTTGGTGCTGTCATGGATTCCATGGAACTAGAGAGACAACGAGGAATCACTATTCAGTCAGCAGCCACCTATACCATGTGGAAAGATGTCAATATCAACATTATAGATACTCCTGGTGAGTTGGGTTATTGATCTTACTGTTTTAGCAAAAAAAAAACCCACATTTTTTTCTACTATGACCCAACTCATTTTTGAGTATAAAATACTCAAAAGTATGATTGTCAGTCCTTATTGACAGAAAATTGACATGGGACCTTGAACACTTCATCTTTATGTAGTTTCTTTGAAAATAGTGCAAGTAAGTTATGAGTAGGAAAGTATATACTTTTTATATATCTCAGCAGATTCCAAAGATACCCATGCCCTTGTGTCTTCTTAAAGTGATCTTTTGGGCTCTGGTGAGTCTACACTCATATCAGAAATCTTAATGCACGGAGATACAGACACTTTTCATTGTGCGTGTATTCAGAGCTCAGGTTGCTCTTTAAGACCCTCACACACTTCTTTGTCTCATTTAGGTCATGTGGACTTCACGATTGAAGTTGAAAGGGCCCTGAGAGTATTGGATGGAGCAATCCTTGTTCTTTGTGCCGTTGGAGGGGTGCAGTGCCAGACCATGACTGTTAATCGTCAGATGAAGCGCTACAACGTTCCATTTCTAACTTTCATTAACAAACTAGACCGAATGGGCTCCAGCCCAGCCAGGGCTCTGCAGCAAATGAGGTAGTAAGCCTTAGAAGGAGCAGATGGGGTGCAATGATCTGGATACAAATCATACATCCAGAAGGATGAGAATTCATTGGTGCTTAAGCTTTTATTAATGTGAATGACTTCTCCTAGTAAATGCAACCTGGAGACCAGTAGTATTCCTGGTTAGAACTCATCAGCTCTGTAAAATGAGGAATATAGTGCTTAACTTCAAGGGAGGTTGAAGATGAATTTAGAAAACAGCCTGTCAGTTTATACTGTTTTGCTCTAATTAGAGTTAAAACAAACCAAGGGTATGATATAAGAGGATCCTCTTTGTTGTTAACCTTTACTTTAGGAATTTGTGAGTAATGCCTCTGAATCGTATGCCATAGAGATGATATTCCCTTGCCCTAGATGGTAACATATTTGCTACGACAATAATAACTCAGTAGTATTTATAACATTTTACAGTTTACTGTATATTTCACATAGCCTTTTTAAAGAGAGTTTCACTTTTTACCTTTTTAGATGTGTAATGGAGCCATGAAGTTCCACCTCCAGTTTTACATGCAAAGCTGATGGATAGTGGTGGAAAATTTTGTAGTTAGTGAATAGACTAATTTAACTGATGACAAAAGATGGTGTTTGGGAGCTTCAAGTGATAGCATTGCAATATATAAGTTGATAGAAATGATGCATTTGAGGATATTAAAGTGAAATTTTTCTTTACTGGGAAATTGTAATATTTTCTTGGCAAAACTGAAAGTTTTCACTTTTTTTTCCTTATTTACTTACATTTTTTCCTTGCTTTTTAGTAGGGTAGACACTTTCTGTCAAGGCTTTTGCTTCATGCCAGGAAAACTCTTTTATCCTTTATTTGATTACTTTGGATCTTTTTTTTTGCTTCACTTGCTTTTATCTGTTTTCGTTTGCACCTCCCATTTAATAGGTGTAGGAACTTCTGGATCTGGCCTCCATAGTGCAGTTTTTCTGTCACACTTTCTGTTCCTCATACTGCTCTGGGTTATAGGAGAATTCTTGAGCCTGGGTATTCTGATTTGATACTCATCTGCATTCCTTCTGTTCGTTAGCCACCCCCCCCTTTCTTTTTCATTTCAGCAATTATATTTTTAATTTTCATAAATCCTTTATCCTGAAACATCTTTTATTAACAGAGACAATTGCTTTTCAGATCTTTAAATTTTCCTCTAGTAATCTTTCCTTAGAGATTAGTATCATTTCTTCAGTTAATGCCTCTTTTCCCGGTATTGATTTTTTTTTTCAAGTATTTGGTGATTCCTAGTTATTGATCCAGGAGCTCTGGTAGCGTAAGTGCCTAAGGCACTTGACTGCTAACCAGAAGGCTGTTGGTTCAAACCCACCAGCCACTCCTTGGAAGTAAGGTTGGGCAGTCTACTTCTGTAGTGATACCGCCTTGGAAACCCAAGGAGGGGTTGCTATGAGTTGGGTCCAGCTCGGCGGCACATAGCAACAACAACAGTTATTGATCCACAGTTATAGTTCAAAGTCTAGAGCATGTTTCTTCTTAAGTGAGAATCCCTGTCAGTGAGTATACTCTGTGTCCAGTGGTTGTGCCTGGTTGGGGTGGGGTGGGGGAAGCAGCCTGTTGATGAGTGTCTGGTTTTAACTCCTGCTCTGAGTGTTTTCCTATAAAAACTCCCCCTCCAGATAGCTATACTCAGCTTTGCTGGAGTCAGGTGTTCTAAAATTAAGAGGTGGGCTTAGTTACCCCATCATCTTTTAATTTCCCGGCCAACCACCCATACACTTAGTTTTCCTTCCCCTCTGCAACCTGTCTGGGCCATTTTGAGGCTATGATAGAAAAACACTTATTTTGGAGGTTTATTGTCTAAAATGAGCCCTGGTGGCACAGTAGTTAAAAGTGCTTGGCTGCTAACCAAAAGGTCGGCAGTTTGAACCCATCAGCTGCTCTGCAGGAGAAAGATGTGGCAGTCTGCTTCTGTGAAGATTTACAGCCTTGGGAACCTTAGGGGTAATTCTGCTCTCTGTGCTATAGGGTTGCTATGAGTTGAAATTGACTCAATGGCTATCATGTTTTTTTGTTGTTGTTGCCTAAATGAGGTTGTGGCTTCCTAAACTTTCTGAGTTTGGCTGTTGTCTGTTCCCCACTGCTTTATATCTTCTGTCCTGACATGCTGATGACACCACTTCCTGTTCTCTTGTACCTGCCACTGATTTATCTTTAACTTCTTTTGTCATTTCAAAGGGATTTTGGAAGAAGAAAGGAGATGAAAATGTGTATTTTTATTTCTCCAGGTCTAAGCTAAATCATAATGCAGCATTTGTGCAGATACCCATTGGTTTGGAGAGTGATTTTAAAGGTATTATAGATCTTATCGAGGAACGAGCCATCTATTTTGATGGAGACTTTGGGTAAGTGTTAAAAAGTACTGTTGTTTTAAAAAGCATCAAAGTGAAGGAAAATGATGAGTATTTTAAACATAATTCCTTTAATTGTACTTCGTCCCCATCTTTCTTAGTAGTCATTCTACCTTTGGATAATATATTCAGATCACATTATGGGATGCATAGTGTGGAAGTAAGCCTTCACCTGGGGCTATAATGTAATATCTCTTTCTTTGACTTGTCCATTTATTTGTACGTGCATTCAGTCTACAAACTTTAATGAAACAGCTACTGTGTATTAGGTATTGTGATATAAATTGGGAAGAAAATAGGGATTATAAATATCTGTTCTACCTATTTTTCAGGATTATAAAGATAGAAATATTAGTATATGAAAGCAGTTGAAAATTGTGCCAGTGTGGATGGGGCTATAAACCCACGGCTGTCAAGTCAATTCTGACTTACGGTGATAGAACAGAGCAGAACTGCCCCACAGGATTTGGAAAACTGACTATAATCTTCACAGAAGGGTTCCTTAGATCTAGGGTTGGTCTGGGAATTCACATTTCTAGAAAGGTGATGCTGATTATATTTGATAATTAAGAATAATAAATATGATTATATTATTATTATATTTGTTCATCTCCTAGAGAATTGGGCTCAGGATTGAAGAGTCTGTCATATTAAGTGCAAAAAGGACAAGGAGGCCACATGTTCTGCCCTCCTCTAATCCCACAAGAGGAAGACAGGATTACCAGCAGTAACCCAAGGCCTATTCCTACAAGGCCAGACATGCTGCCTCCCTCCA